ATTTTCTTTCATTGAGAGTCTTCTCACAGATGCTAAAGCAAATACTTTTAGGGTTGTGCAAACTGGTAGGTGCAACATAAGACAAAGAAGTTGCTACAGAGTTGCTACAGTTGTTTGGTAACTGGTTATTTCTAATTCTTGCAGTTTGGTAAGCAGATTCTTTGCCTGTTAGTGCTATTTAAAAGACCACAGTAGATGACAATGAGCTGAATTTGTTGCTGAATTCTAGTAGAGACTGAGCGTTTGATGAAGGAAGGAAAGTGAAATACTCGTCATTGTGACACAGCACACCACTGCACACACAACGAAATGTGACCTCTGCCTTTAACCCGAGTGAGCAGGGAGCAGCTGAAGCACCCGGGGAGCAGTGTGTGGGGAAGGTGCCATGCTCAGTGCACCTCAGTGGCAACTTGGCAGCTGGTGGACTCGAACCTGAAACCTTCTGGAACCAAGTCCGCTTCCTTAACCACCAAGCCACCGCGGCCCCAATGAATGCTCAGTTTGCTCACAAACGATTACTCATATTACCTTTTTATTATTACTCTGCTCGTATATCATTATGTATCACTTTTTTCAAAGACAAAAAGACTAATGCTATTTGGTAAAAATAAACAAGTTAGTGAAGTTACCGTCTTCTTTCAGGTTTCCATTAGGGACCCTTATATTTAATTATCACTTTATGTAACACATACACACACGCGAGTCACCATTTCAGTGATTTGGACTCGGATCAAACACAAGCACACGCGACCGTGATTGAAACGGTGCGCCTCCATCACCACTTGGCAATAGTGGGGACGTGTGAGCTCGAACGCAGACAGCAGGGCACAGCAGCTGGCAGGGCAGGTCACAGAGCTGCATTATGTCACGCAGAGCTGCAAAGCGACCACGGTGACGTGGATGAAATGGCGTCTCTTGTAAACAGCTTGTGCAATGAAACGAAGCAGAGACATTTGCATTATAATTTGGTTGGGTGGATGCTGCTCGTACAGCGCTACAAGACTGATTCTCAGTGTTTAACTTCGCACAACGCATAGAGGGAAAATTCGTACTCGGCATTTTGTCGTGTAACTTTCTCAACTTTTTCCACCCTTACCCTGTTCCCATTTTTCATTAACAGGCAGGTGACATGGAAGATTAATATTGTAGTTAATCACCTACAGCATGCTCTATTTAATCATGCCTCGCTTCACTACATGTTATCAAAATCTATTGCCTGCTCTGTTAAATCGCGCCCAAGATTAAAAACCCTCTGAATGATCTTACTTGCAATTAATCTGGTCTCTCTAAGGTTTCGGACAGATTCTCTTTAGATTTTCACCCTCCGCTTTAAAACAGACAAGACACGAAAAACTCATCGCTTCATCTGCATCTACAAAACTTCAGTAAGAACCATGACGTCATGAACATTCCGGTAAAGGTGTCGGATCGTGCTGTATCACAGAAATGAATTTAATTTTCTGCTTGCAGCAGGGTTACATTTCACTGCAGCCTGTACAGTGTATAAATAAAGCACATTGTGCCATGTTTATACCTCTGACCTTGTGGTGGAGCATGGGCAAGCTTTCACAGGAACAGAATGACGTAGGCTCCCTTGTAAATTATATGCGACTTGCCTTCTTGCAGCTAATCTGTGTTTCGGTGTTTGTGTCTTTGAATGTGACAAGTGGCCATGACCGTGTGTTTGTGTATGCCCTGCAATCTGACACGGACGGGTATTTTGTCAGTCAGCTGGCTAGTTATGGCGAGAGGGGAAGGGATGGAGAGAGAGAAGGAGAAAAGAGGGAGAGAGAGAGAGAGAGAGAGAGAGAGAAGGAGAAGGCCGCTCAAGTACAATGATTAATCACCTTGTGCTATATTCTCCAGGCTAATGCTTAGCAACTGCAGAGCACCAGCAAGACTACAAGTCTGCCTTGCACCATACACAAAATTAATTCTCATCCTCCCAAAACAAATCTAATAGGATTAGTCTGAAATCTACTACATCAACCAAAATATATATGAGATTGTAGATAAACCGACACCTGTGAAAACTGTAGAATGTTCAGCAGCAGATATGGGACTAATTAAAACTTAGCTGCCCTACATTTGTTTTTATTTGCCTAGGATTGTTTCTCCATTTTTTCTATGAAAGGTTATACCATCTGCCTGCTACAGTAACCAGGCCTCTCGACTGTTTCTGCTTACACTTTTAGTGAGTGTATGTTGTATTTGACCTGAAGCGATGGCCCCAGTTCTGCAAAGCTACTGAGCCGGATATGAAAAAGTAAAAAGTGTGGCCTATATCTCTGCAGTCGTATTTGTTTTTAAATTTAAAAAAAAAAAGAAGTAAATTTACATAAACTGCTGTCCTTGTCCTACTGTAGTATATCAGCACAGAGCAGGAGAACATTTCCACCCCGAGCAATGGTGATTTGCTATTAAGTGTTTGCTATTAGCAAGTTAGCCATTAGCAAGTTAGCCAGTGAGTGTTACTTAATGTTGCTTCTATAAGGGCAGTAGACCTTTGTCAATGAATGTGTCAGTGTTAATATACAACACAAACACATACTATTGTTTCAAGTTAGCGTTCTAAACTGCTCTGTTCTTTCTTTGATCTGAACCGTGGTGTGTATCATTCCAGCACATTGTCATGTCGTCATTTGGTTAACACTGATTGTTTCACACTGTTTTCTTTTTTTTGCATTTTATAGACCAAGCAACGCTATCGTAGCCCTGCCGTACTCTCCGTATATTCTGTATGTGAGCTGCATTTTAATTGGCTGTTGTAAAGCATGCACAGTGTGCTCTCGTCACTAGGGGACCAGTCCAATGCTCATGCCAAAGTAGTAACACATGAATTTAAAAGTCAAAATTTGAGTTAGGCTAACACAATAATTCAGATTTCCCTAACGTCACACCATTAAACCGGCTGTTTCAGTACTTCCATTTCATTGGTGGCTTCACTGAAAGTGCTGGTAATAATTATGGCTGCGGTTGGCCAGTGTCCCAGACTCCTGCCACACTCTTTGGCTCATGAGTTATTAATATTGGACTTTGAGAGCCACTACAGACACCTCAGACAGTGCATGAAAAAAAAAAGCTACATACCAGCCACACCCCTGCTGATGTAATTTACTGATGCTTTTCTGTTGTAGCATTTGAGCCCACTGTAATGGTAACTTAGATGAGCTTTTTCCCGTGTGCTTTTAAAAACTGGCCTACAGTTTGTTGTGAGGGTGTGACCTGACCTGGTTGTTGGCTAAATACTAGAGCTTAGGCCTAGATACATTTGTTCAAAGACAAAGCAGTGCATGAAAGAAGTGATTGATGATACTGGTTGCTTACAGGTTGACACTCATGGGAAGACCTGTTGCGCAAGGTTGGTTTATTATCAGTCAGGCCCAAAACTGATGGGGTTTGATGGACCTTTTGCAGGACAAGTTGTAAAGGTGCTTTTGTTGTTTGTCACAGACCAAACGCTGACTAGAAAAATGATGGGAATCGGCAACGGTGCTGTTACCAAATTGAAGCTGAGGTAGTCAATGAGTTTACCACTTGTAAAACCAATGGGCACAGTAATGGAAACAAGTAAAGCATTAATGTACATCCGTCCCAATTACAAATCGGTAGTAGCAGTTAGTAATTAGTGGGAGGGCACAGCTTATTGTCCGTAGCGCTAACAGTTAATGATAATTACCAGTTACTTTTATTCTGCAGGGTTTGCAGTTGTACGTCTAACTTTCGTCTAAGTTTCAAGTTTCAAATTTTAGCTTCAAAGATGTATTTCTGGGTGGATATTTACGGGACCTAAATGTTCCCTCTGAAATATTCTCGCCGTTCCTTAAAATATTTTCTAAGCAAACATCAGCAGCGTTCTCTTCTAATCCAAGTCCCGAAAAGATTTACTTGTGTTTGCTTGTGTTTCTGTTAACCGAATTAGTGGAGGAAAAAAAACAAAAAACAAACCCTTTCAATGCAGCTTATTGGAAAAAAACCAACATGTGACTAGAAGAGTCATACTGACTGCATGTGATCTGACACATGAATGTGGAATGTTTTTTAATTTATTTTTGGAGTCACACACTGGAGAATGATTGGAAAGGAAGAAGAAGAACTGACAGAGACAGAGGAAGTGATTAGAATAAAACTTGAAATTTTCCGTTTTTTTTTTAGCAAAGACTTCCCCACAACTTTGTCACAGTTGGGAACATGGTCTATAAACATGTGCTATTTTTACTTCAAACTACCACGACTACTCAAACACACCTGACATAAATTCATCTGGGTTCAAAGCACTCGCTGATAAATGTAAACAGCAGCTGTTTTTGCAAGCAGGTCATCTGACACATTATTCGCGAGTTACTTATATCACGTGTGATTGTGTTTGGGCATGAGCACATGGATGGTATTCAGTGTATACACATCAGACCAGTGTGGGTTTACTGTCGTGTGTGTGTGTGTGCAGTTCCAGTATGAGTGGTATGACGAAGACGCCCTTGTTCTGGGCGACAAGTGCTGCCATTCAAAACTTGGCTCGGCCGCTGCTGTTGTTTTACTGTGTCATTCTGCCTCAGTGCTTTGCTGAGCTAGTGGCTCAGGTAGGAGTCAACAAGATACGACAGATAAAAAGGGATAAGAAAGATTTTTTCCTAACCTCTATACCAGAAATGACATTTTGTTGAGCAGTACAGTTGTAGCAGTAGCTACTCACTCGGCCGTCCATTAAAACAATGTTATTTAAATTGACACCAAAACTTGCAATCCATTATTGGATGCTTCTTTTAGACCGAGTCTTGTTACACAGATCTAATACCAGCAGTGGTAAAACTTCTTAATACACTCCTGTTCCTTTTCTCTGAGAATCAATTGCTATGTTGTTTGTTTTTTTAAAACAAATACAGTACAAATAATTGTTTAGCCCTTTGACGGTAGAATGTTCTATTGACGGTTTGGATTAATGTATTATGTCGTCAAAAAAAAAAACTAAAAAAAATGTCTCTGTCTTTTTCTTTTCTTAGGAACGCACCAGATCTTTTGACAGCTTCAACATGAACACTCTGGAGAGCTCCCTGATTGACATCATGAGGGCCGAGCAGGACACTCTGAAAGGTGAAATTCACTGTGTGTCATCACATATGCAGATGATATCTTAATGTATTTTGAACAGGAAGTAACCTGGTTTATTTCATTTTTTCTTTTTAATATGTACCAGAAATCATTCATAAATGCATCATGAGAGAGTGGAAAATAAGTCATACTCATGCGAATACAAACAAACAAGAAAAAAATATAAAAAAAATACAAATAGGTGCATCGCGGTTTGCCTAGTGTCTGGTACAAACTCTACACCTAAATCGGAGCTGGTAACGGCTCACACTCATTTTCACTCACTCAAAAACGCAACACATTTTCGCAGAGAAACATCACTTTCTTCCACACCACAGACATCCCACCTTCACGTCTACTCCTTTGTGTTATGATCAACAATAATGAGAAAGGTCAGCCTGTGCAGCACTTGGCTCACACCTCTGCCTTCCTACGTCTACTTCCTTGTACATATAAAAAAAAATAAACACAACAAAAAGGTTTTCTTGTGAGAAAATTCGCTTTCACAGAGAGTTCTAAGAATAATAGGTCTGTCTCTTGTGTGTAAAAAAAAAAAAAAAAAAAAGCAGAAACGGTAGGTGGACGCCTAGGCTTTAGTTTCAGATGAGGTTTTTAGGCTAAAGATGAGGCGACTTCAATTTAGCTGAGCTGATTGGTTTACACAGATCACAACTTCGTCAGCCTCCTGTCGAAAGACTCGGTCGTCGATTTTGGCAGGTAGCTGGGGTTGATTGTTTGCATAGACACAGTTCAACTTGGCTAGCTGGTAGAAGCAGTTCTGCAACGCTTCTTTTTTGAAAGGAAATACAGTGAACCTTCAGAGGGTGGAGCACTGATCGTAACTAGTGTCAGATGGTTTATTGTTAGTATCCTCTTCTAACTCATGAGAACAACCAGCTAAGGTAGACTATGCTCGTTCATTCGTGACAGCTCAGAACTTGTGTAGAACATGTCGGAATGGAAGTGCGGCGAGACATAAATATATCACACAAACACCTATTTAACACTACAGTTAACAGCTATATTTTGGAGTTTTTGACACTTTTTTTCTTCTGTGAGTCACCGTCACAAATAAATCGTCAAGCAATGCATCGAAAAACGTCGCGGTGGATCAAAGGAAACTGTCAAGTACTAGGGCGACTTAAAATTAGCCGAAGTGAACAGCGTTTAAAAACACAAACTCTCCAAATTTCAAACCGTGCACTCGCTCCGTTCAGCCAATCTGCTGAGACAGATTGCGAAACGCACTTGTGGCACCAAGGTTGATTTAAATTAAAGAAGCCGAGACACTTTGTTCTCTTGTTATCTCAGCCTCCTGTGTGCCACTTCAGCCGCATCCCGCTGCCGTCAATAAAAGTGTGCCTTCCTCACTGTTAGGCGAAAAACGACTGAGGTTAACACATGACCCCAGACGTGGGCGCCAGTTGGCACCAAAAGACTGCTGACTGATGCTTTCTGATAGGATTTCTTTTTTTGTAATTTATTCAGCTTTTCTTTTGACCTGCCTTTTCTCTACATATTCTTTTAAGACCTTGTCTCTTGTGTGTAAAACTTTTTTTTTATGTTTTATTTTTTTTTTATCTGCCTTCACTTGATGCGTCATGCCTAATTTCATCCCACGTTATTTTATCTTGTTGGCCTTGGCCTCGCTGCATATCATTATTTTATTATTTGTTCTAACAAAATCTGTTGGAAAATTTGTTTTTCAACTCATTCCATTCTCTGCTTAAATATCTGTCGCGTTCGCAACCGTACATGGATACATGGAAGCGCGAAAGTTCTAAACACACTGGGCCACGTCACTGCAGAACAACGTTATCTTTTCACTGTAGTTTTTGAACAAGGGAGAGGGACAAAGCCTCGGAATGGGAAAGACAAAATGTCTTCAGTGGCTTTGAATCGCTTCCAGCATTGTCCTGCCGCACAGAAAAGATCCCTCTGTTCAGTCACCGTACACACACACACACACATACACACCACAGGGCACTGTTCATGTTTGTGCCACAACTGCTCGCACTGCACTGCACTGTACACGGATGTAGCCGACAGCAAGCTAAGCGTGGTTCACCACGCGGGCACGAACAGGCCCGGAGACACAGAGATGTGAAGTGTCCCTCTGTGTGAATGACACTGATAAAAAAAAAAACAGATGTAATATGTTTTTCTCACATGGACTTTTCTTTCGGGGTGGTGCCGCAATTAGCACATCTTCGCTAAACGGAACCACGGCGGGGTCGTAGCGCGGTGTTTTCTTACAGCGCAGTTTTAGATTTATGAGCTTGGTTTCAGGTAAATGGATATTTAACTGCTGTTTGGTCGCAGGACGGCGTAAGGTCGTGATGTCAACAACGTGTTGAATTTGTTTTCAATACAGCGGCCTGTAAAGCCACGGGTGGTCCACGCTGTGGCCTGCACTGTGCACCACATCTACTGACTACTGTGAGGCTGAATAGACAAGGTGTGGGGGAGGGGCCAGCGGCTTTCCATGTGACTGAGGCACTGGAATGCACCAATCACAGGGCGGTCAGCGGCCATATTACAATGGCTGTACTATTTGAGCTCTTTCATCTCATTATTCCTCTGCAAACAGGCCTCGCATAACTTTGACGCCGGCGTTGTATCGAAACATGCGTCCTCGTGGGCGTGCGAGCGTACGTGTCCGTAAATGGCTTATTGTTACGACGTATGACGTGAGGTTAAACAAGGAGAGAGGGAGACGCACAGGGCTAACGGAGGCGTAAGCAAGTTGATAGAAAGTATGTACTGTATGTTGTCACCGTAGCGCCTCGTAAAAATACGGACTCTTTTTTAGCAGTCTCATAAACAAGACAGTTTAAATAGAGACACTGCCATGCCATACTCGGTGTTCCTACATGTACGTTGGGGAAATGTCGACATTCTCTGCATCGATACTCTTGGCTTCAGGTGATTTTTAGTTAACTTAAAAAAAAAAAAATTCCCTTTTGTTGTGTCTCCCCTTGTAGGTCGTCTTGGGTTCCCTCACCCTGGAGGGGACAACCCTCTGCCCCTCAATGGTACGTATGTCGACCCTCTCACATTTTAAGGGTCCACTAACACAACACATATGCGCAAAAATCCAAATAATTAAATCAATGTTCAACAAAACTGCGATAATTCACTTTTGTCGACCAGAAGGAATCACAGAAAAGAAACACATTTGTTTCTTTTAAAGTTAATTGAAACTATATATTACTGTGACTTTTATGTCCAGTGACTTTGTTCTTCCCAGTCTGAGACAGGCCAGTCTCTTCTGTGGAACTTCGTCTGGCGATATCAACGATAAATTAAAGTGTCACTTCGTCCGCCCTTAAAAATAGCAGCGAAGTCCTTTGTCCTGGTTTTTGTAACTGGTGTTGCCTGGATAGTGGGTGGAATGAGAAGAGGATGAAAGAAGATAGTGATTTTTAATGCCAGGAAATGGGAAACAGGATTTGGGATCAGTGGTGGATTGGAGGAGCGAAATGAGAAAGTTGAGTGGCCTCGGGGTGGGAGTTACCAAATGAGACCCCACCTCTTAATCCCCGTCCCCAAAAAGGGTTTATTTGGAAATGTCATTTTTAAAAAAGCAATCAGAAAGGCAGGTGAGAAGTATTACTGTAGTATAACAAAAATATTGACTGTTGTATATGTGGGTCTTTTCTTCAACCATAGCTGTAATCAGTCGCTGTTGTTTAAAATTTTGATTTGACGCAGCTATTGTTCCCCAGATGTGACCTTGTTTCGCTAAATAAAAAAAAAAACGTTCAAATCACCCATCAGCCCCTGTGTGAATTCTCCTCCCGTGTAGTTTCCACAGCCGCGGTGCAACATTCTGTTACGTCCACTGTGCCCTTGCACAACCCTACTCTTTTTTAGCGTTGTGTAATTGCGTCGCTGTAGCCTGCGCCCTGTGGTCTCAGGTCAGGATGTAAAACCGGAGAAGCCAGCGGTTTCTTCACAAGATAGCTAGGTCACATGGTGAGGTCACATGATCAGGAGCTGTCATCGAGCTCTGAAACAGATGGTGCCAGGACAGAGGGTTGCTCTCCCCTTTCTATCTCCCTCTCCCTCTCTCCCTCTCTCTCTCTCTCTCAAACATATACCAATTACATTTGCCGTTCCCTTGATCTCTCTCACTCTCATTTACTCTCATCTCTTACAATCTATTTCTCTGTAAACCCGCACACAAACACATCTTTTTATAGCACTCCCCGCTCCCTTTCAATCTGCTTTCTGTTCCTTTCTCTCGCTCACCCTTCCTCCCTCACGTTCTCTTTCTCTCCCTCTCTCTGACCCCCTCTCTCCCCCCCCCAGAGTAAATGTCCATCTGGGCAGATTCTAGATTGCACTGAGAAAGAAGCGAGGATTATTGCATGTGTGCGTTCCGGCCAGTACTTCATCTTAAATCTTTGGCTAAATCTTTATTGACAGCGTCCGTGTTCAGAAGTCATTTCCTATTGGCCCTCTGCAGAGGAAGATGGCTTTCTGTGGGGCGTTTAAAGTCGAATATGTGCACATCACTCAGAACGACGCAACAGAAGCGATCTCGACAGTCGGTAACAGCAGAAGAGTTGCAACAAATAAAAACAATACTTGGAACGTACAGGCAGAAAGTACAATAAATACTGCAATTAAAGTAACCAAGAGGTACAATGAAAAAATATTCCCCAAATTGTGGCAAAAAAAATAAAATCATGAGCATAGTGCTTTTTTTTTTTTTTTAAATGTTTCTTGCAGCGGAGAAAAAAAATTGATAAACTGAAATATTGCAATTTCATTTAACGATATTGTATTGACATTCTGTAGCACAGTATCGTTTTTACCTACTAACAATTTACCAAGCAAATATTTCATTTATTTAGCCTTTATTTCTTCACTCTGTTTCGACCGTTGTATGTTTACTATGGAGAGTTAAACTGTTAAAAAAAAAATCGCAGTATTTCACAATATATCGTATTGTGATGCGTATCGTGATACGTATCGTATCTTCAGATTCTTGCCAATACACGCTGCTAGTTTCTGGTCAGAAATGATCCAAAATTGAAAAGCAGGTGCGTTAGTGTTTCTCTTCACCGGCACTGGAACAAACGTCCATCATCATCGTTTCCCATCAGCCTCTGCAGTTGGCACAGTGCAGTCAAGCAGGTAACGTCAGTCTGGCATGTGCCAAAACCCGGACTCATCCATCAGACTGCCGGATAGAGCGGCGCGATTTGTCACTCCGCAGAACGTGTTTCTGTTTCTCCGAAATTGTGCGGCGCCGTTTCTTCACACCATTAAATCGGATGCTGGGCGCTGTGTGAGGCTCGCTGCAGCTGCTGGGCCACGGAAGCCCGAGCCACACTGGTGCGCAGTTTTTTGTGCTGACATTAAAACCAGAGAAGGTTTTAAACTCTGCAGTCATCGAGTCAGCAGAGGGTCGGTGCCTCTGACGGAGTATGGGTCTCAGCTTTGGCAACAACACACTGTAAAAGTGCACAGTCTGTCGCTTCACCACTAATAAAATGAAAGCCTGAAGGTCAATAAAGAACATTAAAATTGTTTAGAGTTTAAACGAAAAACAAACCCCTCTTTACTTTATCTGCTCGCGCCTGCAGCCTCACTCATGGCCGTGTCTTATTTTCTGAGCACAGTTAAGGTTACGGCTATTTCTGTCAAGGTTACCGAGGTTCAGCGTGGTCTGTTTGTAGACCTTAGATCAGCAAAGTCATAGCATCAGTTTTCCTAAAAGATAACATTTCCTAAAAGATAAGGGGGAAAAAAACATCTGCGTTTCATTTCTCACATGAGTTGTCACATGGTTCTGTCCTTCGGTCATGCAGTTGTTTTTGTAGACTACCGAGTGGCTATTTTAGACTTATTGAAGTGCTAATTTTAGGTTAGGAAATTATTTAAAAAATAGTGAAGTCGGTTAAGATGCACTAAAAACTAAAAATTACATGAAAGTACACGTAAAAAAAAATCAAACTTTTGACAAAATTGGTCAAAACTAAATTACCCCACGACTAAAAAGTAGAAAATATTTAACACTGGAAAAAAAAAAGTAGAAAATATTTAACACTTGGTCTGAAAATGGTGTTGAAATGTAATCAAGTTGTCCTGGATACCAAACTGTGTTTTCTTCAGTTCTAAAGGCTGATGAAGCATCAATGTTTAAACTGAGAGGCAGCAGTGAAGCCACAGAACATTCCAGAGTTTTATGGTGTTATCTGTCATAATTTAACACTTTTCTCTCCTTTGATTTGTTCCTATTCCACATGCAGCCAGGAATTATAGCAGGAGACGAGGTAACGACATTAAATCATGTATATTTTACATATTTATATATACTTTTTTTTACAGTTTCCACTCGTCTGTGTTTGGGCATTTCAGATGTTTTTCGTTGTTAATTCGTTGTATTGGTTTGAATGGTAAAGTGGCCTCGACTCTGTACTGTGATGGTGTCATCTGTCTGCATGATTGTCAAAGTGCCCGGTCCTCCCATGTTCTTCTAAAACGATCTGACGCATCTTTCATCAGCTACGTGTGGTGTCTGTCCCTCGTTTGCCTGTGTTTTTCCCTCCGTCACAAGCAGTTAGTGGAACTGTTAAAACACACAATACAAGATGTTGGTGTCACTTTTAGCTGAGAGTTAATGAGGCACACAAAGTGTTGTATTTACACACCCGGCTGGACACGGAGACACACACACACACACACACGCCACGTACTGTGAGCTGACGCTAACTCACTCCCTTGCATAAATCTCTATAAAGCGGCTCAATGTGGGTTGGTTGGTGAGCTGCAACAGGCCACGGAGGGGCTTAACCTTTGTACCACACACACACACACACACACACACACGACACTGTGAAACTATCCAGATATAAAATATATATATTTATATATGTATGTATGTACGTTATGCCAGCTATGCCACATTATCACAGACAGCTGTACATTTGTGCAATAAATATCCAATGTAACCAGTGACACCTCTGGTCACGAATGTCCACATTCACGAACAATTCTGACGCACAACAAATTTTGCCTAGTTTCACAAACGATACTTCGATTCACGAACGTGCACACACCTGCCTTCTCCTATAATTACTGTTACATTTGTTTCCTTTCTGTATTATTTCCACATAAAAAATGTTTAGGGCAAAAAACGGGTTAACTGGATTGGCATTAATTGCAATGGGGAAAAATTGATTCGACACAAAACGAAATACGTTTTTGACCCGAGGATCTAAGGAATTAACCCCGCCCCCTGTTGTCCCCACTTTCTCCCCCAGGCCACTCCTCTCTGTTCCCCATGGAGGATGGATTCCCCGATGACGAGCGTGGCGATCAGGGCCTCGCAGGTCTGGGGTCTCCTCACTGCTTTCCACACCAGAACGGAGAGCGCGTTGAACGCTACTCACGCAAGGTCTTTGTGGGAGGACTGCCCCCAGATATTGACGAAGGTACACTATTTTTTTTTCAGCCATTTTGTCAGAAACACAACAACACAGAATTAATGCTAGCAGGGCTAGTCTGCACCGCCACTCACATCCTGTCTGCGCTCTTTCAGACGAGATCACAGCCAGTTTCAGGCGTTTTGGACATCTGTTCGTGGACTGGCCTCATAAAGCCGAAAGTAAATCCTACTTCCCACCAAAAGGTACGCCGTGCGTTCACTCTGTCGTTTCTGCAAGGTTTTCATTGTTGTGTAATTGAAATACATAAAAGCAGTCAGGTCTGGTGGCGCGCCATTATCAATCTGTGTTTGTTTGCACAGGCTGCTTTGGTCTTAGGGCCTTTTCTGGCGCGTTTGTTCACCGCAGCTGAAATGTTTGTTTTACAAACACGTATGGTCTCATCCTGTAACAGAATCATTGTGTCACGTGACATCATTGTCATTTGTAACCGCGCGGGTTTCCTCGGCAGCATGAATGACCTTGCTGGTTTTGTTTTGTTCTGTTTTATAGGCTACGCCTTCCTGCTGTTCCAGGATGAGAGCTCCGTGCAGGCTTTGATCGACGCGTGTATCGAGGAGGACGGAAAGCTGTATTTGTGTGTGTCCAGCCCCACCATCAAAGACAAGCCGGTCAGTTTGATCACACACATGCACGCGCACATACTCAAAAACGCACACATTTCACATTGTTTTCGTCCGGATCAGCAAGTCTTGCGCTTGTGACTTTGAAACGACTTCGGTGCCGTTCATTTCTGGGGCTCAATCTCGTTGTTCTTGCTTGTGCGACAGGTTCAGATTCGCCCGTGGAACCTGAATGACAGTGATTTTGTGATGGACGGATCTCAGCCTCTCGACCCGAGGAAAACCATCTTTGTGGGAGGTGTTCCACGTCCTGTGCGTGCAGGTATCGTTCATTTTTTTCCGTTTTTTTCCCCTTCATTTTCACAGGGTGAATTAACTACAGTGCATATCATATATTTATATATATGTATATATGTATATATATAAATGTGTGTATATATATATATATATATATATATATATATATATATATATGAAAAAATATAAAACTATAGTAGTTTTCTTAAGCTCCGCATCATCTTGGTACGGTATAGCTGTGTTTGATGTTTCTAGTCTCACCACGCAATTTCTATGCTGTGCGTAGGATTTTGTTTTTCTATTAACATTAAAAAAGGTGTAGATGAAGCACAACAGGAGCGTTGCATTGCTAGGTGGGATGAATGCAAATAGGGTGAGTTGGAAACTGTACAAAAAAAAAGGCAGTACTGTTCAAAAAGGAGCCTCTGGATGAATGCATTCTAGTCTAAATATTTGTGTAGTTCTGTCAGCGATACCCTATTTAGTTCCATAAGTCACTATATCCTTGAGGATTCAAAGGTATTTTTTAAAAGAAAGGGAGGAAAAAAACCCAAAGTTATTCGCAATGTAAAGAAAATGTTTCATCATCACTTCAGAAACACCCAGCAGCCGCAGAAGTAACTTAAAACAAACCACCAGATAACCTTCACTGCTTCACTACTTTGATCCAATGCAGAGTTAATAACGCACCCACAATGCTTACTGGCACTACTGCTCCATTATTGCCGTCCCTAAAAATGGACCGATCAGGTCGTCTATTTTCAGACGCGTACAAAAAACTGTGACGTTAGTTCTAAAAAAACATAATGCAGGTGTATTGCTTAAAAAAACCCTCATTGTAAAGGCATGTTTGCTGCCAGTCTTTCAAACCCTGTGCTAACCACACGTTGAGCACGAGTCACTGATATTAAGGTCCCTTCAGTTTTATCAGCCTGTGCTCAGATCAGATCTGATCTGTCAGAGGGCGGAGCTTAAATGTGGCCTAGTTTAGTGTTTAGTGTTAAAAAATATACTGAACAACTGTTCATCCTTGAAACTGTGGCTGTGTGGAGAGGAACTGAATCTAAATTTGTATGTCAAGGCAATATTTTTAAAACAACGTGACTTCAAAGCTTTGAACGTTGAGGATGATCTCTAATTGAAATATTTATTTAGTAGTATGGGAAAGATAATACGGTATTACTGTATGGTAATTTGTTTTTTAAACAAAATAATATATATATATATATATAAATATATATACATTTATATGTAAATATATAATATATATATATATATATATATATATTTGTGACGTTAATACAAACACATTTCTACATAGCCTTTTTGACAGTGTCACCAACCTCACATTTGTCACAGTTAATAAACTTCGTCATCCTGTTCAATGTTTTTTTTTATTTTTTTGTCTTTAACATTCTCTTTTTTTTCCTCCCTATCCTTCTTCTCCACTCTGCAGTGGAGCTGGCCATGATCATGGACCGCCTGTACGGCGGAGTGTGTTACGCTGGCATCGACACAGACCCAGAACTGAAGTACCCTAAGGGAGCGGGGCGGGTCGCCTTCTCTAATCAGCAGAGCTACATTGCTGCTATCAGCGCTCGCTTTGTGCAGCTGCAGCATGGAGAAATTGATAAACGGGTGAGTGGATGGCAACGATGTTTTTTTTTTTTTTTCTTTGGTTTGTATTTTTGTCTAAACATGGTCTCACTCTTTTTCTTGAATCGGTCGGGCTTGTTTAAGCTACAACTAGACTAATTGGACAACTGTCCCTCTAGGTCAGGGGTGTCAAACTCATTTTCACCGGGGACCACATCATCAATACAGTT